GGGGGGTTGTTGGATCAGAACCAGCAGCTCTCCCTGCATGGCGTTGAGACTTGGCTCTGGGCCGAGGACTGCGAGGACATGTAGGCGTGGACAGGAACGAGAATGGAGACGGTGGAGCGGCCGTGGAGCTCCACGCTGAGTTGGGCCGATAAAGAAACGCAGTAAAGTCCCGAACCTGCTGCTGGGGGGGTGGGGGGGGGGGGGGGGGGGGGGCTTTTATTCGATGCCAGCGACTGTTGCTGTCATCCAGGGAGGCGTAGAATCTCCACGTGGAGTTCTGCTCCGAGGTTTCTGTCATAAATTTCCTGTTTCTGAAAACTCGCTCAGATTATTTGCACCTCGTCTCATTCTGTTTTCAGTTATTCATAAGCTAGAATATATCTTAGATTAAAAAAAACACACAAAGGTTAGTCTTCTTCATTATAATTATTAACATTTAAAGTCAGTACTGGGCTAAATATGTCCGCTGATTAACTCTTACTGCCGTACCCTGATTTATTTTGAAACTAAAGTAATTTTATTCACTTCCTGTCTTGTCTAAATCTGGCGTAAAAACATGGAGGATTTTATTTTCTTTAAAAAAAAAAAGTCTTGTAAGCCAATGACTTTTTTTCCAGCAAGGCGTCTTTCAGAGTTCAGCGTACGAGACGGTGAACATGAGGGAATTAATCAACAGTAATGTTCAACCCCGGGACAGTGACGGATCTCACTTCCTGGAGGAATTTGGAGGGAGAGAAAAAAAAACATCTTGACTCAGCGCTGGAGTGAGATAACCTCAGCTCACCCCGGGCCAGCTGACGATAAACAGCCGTGAGTAAGTGGGGGTGGGGGGGTGTTGATCCGGATGCACGAGGCTTTGGGGTGGGCCACCAGGAGTTTGGCTTCATCTGCATAGTTTATTTTAGGCCCCGCCCCTTTTGGACAGAGAGCATGGGAACAGCGCTGCTCACCTTTCAAGTCCAGACCTGATGCTCGGAGCAGGCTGCCAGCTGGGGGTCAAAGGTCGCTCAGCAGAGAGGGGGCGTGATTGGCCCCTCTCCACCTCATCTGTCTCCGTCTGTACAGATTAAGTGGTGATGGGGGGGGGTGAACTGAGAGGTGGAAACTGAGGAAGAGGAGAACAAATCACAGATGAAATGGAAGATAAAAAGGGGGAAAGTATCTAATTATAGATGGAGCGCTCATTTTTTTTATGAAGGGAGGATGTTTAATGACTTCACCACCCAAGTATGCGCAACATGTCCGGTTCTGCGGGTCACAGATAATGATGGGAGGTGTCTGATAGTAGCTGGGGGGGGGGAATAGACTTGGATTAAATGTTCTCCTGGGGCGTTCGCAGCGTTACCTGCAGGTATTCCCTCTGCTGCCAAACAAAGAGGAAGTGACGGGGCCGAGGACCGTTTGGGTTGTCGTTTAACTCGGACTGTCTCTTCCAGCCCGGCGTCCATCTGCTGGGGGGGGGGGGGGGGGGTTCTGGAGGAAAATCCAGCTGACTGAGGAGTTGGAGAAGGAATAAGCTGCATAAAACACAAGCAAGGCGACCAATTTTAGTAGAGATGCTGCACCTGTTGGGCATTAATAATCATCTGGACAAACATTTGCCTGAACTCAGGAGGACCCGTCAAAAGTTTAAAATTCTTGAGGTTAAAAAAAATAAATCTGCACCTTTTTTTGTAGGAAAAACTTGTGAACGTCTGTCAGGGAACAAGTGTTCGTCCGTCCACGGAAACAACCAAAGGGACTAAACAGAGGTCAGCGATGACGACGTCCACCAGAGAGCCGTTTGGGATGGAGAAGTGTGACGGTTATGATGCAACGTGCACGTTCACGGCAGATCAGGTTCAGGTTGAAGCGGCGAACTTCTAGTAGAAACGTTTCAAAACAGCGTCGGCTCTACTCAGCTCAATATATCCATCCATCCGTTATCTTTACACGCTTCTTCCTTTTTTTGGGTCACTGGTGCCTGGACAGGTCTCCAGTCCATCACAGGGACACGTAGAGACAAACGAGACAAACAACCATTCTCTCTCTCATCTAGGGACAATTTAGAGTTACTAATCAGCCTAACATGCATGTTTTGAGTCTGTGAGAGGAAACCGGAGTACCTGGAGAAAACCCACGCATGCACGGAGAGAACATGCAAACCCCACCCAGAAAGGGCCGGGATTTGAACCGGCGACCTTCACGCTGAGAGGCAACAGCTCTACCAGCTGTGTCTCCGTGCCGCCGGCCTCGATATATATTCTTACTATTTGTTTTACTCCATTTTTCCTCCCTGCTTTGCATTTACATTTAAGATTTACTCTCTAAGTTCCACCTGAACTTATTCTGCACTTGTCTGATTCCACACCCTCATGTAGGTCGGTCCCGTTATTTGAGCGCCCACATGGTTTTCGGACGATTCAGCCAAGTATTTTGGTTCTGTTGATTTTCAAGTTGCGTATAAATCTGGAAAGCGAGAGTAAATCGTAAAAATTTAAAAATGCACCATTTACTATATCCAACAAAGTTAAATCAGGTTCTCTGGACGGATTAAAAAAATTAATAAATTAAAACTTGTTGAAATGTTTCGTCTTTTATCCAAAGGACTTCTTCAGTCTGAGGAGCTGCAACAAACGCAGTCTTATAAACAGCACCTTCTCATAGTGGATCAACCAGTTTGCTGATGACAGCTGAAACTAATTGTTCAAATGCAAAAGGAGGACCATCAACCTAACGACTGAGTGTTAGTGCCCTGATGGCCGCTTGCTATTCACAGAGGGCTGAGTGATGCTAGCAATAACAGCATTGTAGGAGGGGGACAGTTGGACACAGAGGCTCCGCCCCTGTTTAATGATGGACAGTTTCTCTTCACAAAGATGACTTCCTTCACTCCTCTCTCAAACCAACGTCCTTCTCTGTCCAGGATGTGAACATCTTCATCCCTGAAAGTGTGACCTCTGACCTCAGATGAGTGTAGACCGCAGAGTCCTTGCCTCTTGTCAGTGCCATCAGGGCACTAACGATCTGTCGTTAGGCTGATGGTCCTCCTTTATAATGTGAACAACTAACAACAACCTTTTTTGTTATCTACCAGGATGATGGAGCCTACAAACCTTTTTTCTGAACCATTTTGACCTCAGGCTGTTTCTGTGAGTAGCAAGTTGGCCACATGGCTAAAAACATTTGATTGCTATACATGATGCTTGATTGTTTTGGACAGATGAGGCATTTTGCTTGTGTTAAAAGCTTCTGAGCTTCCAGCAGGAGGTTGGCTTGAAACACAGCGTGAAGGCTACTTGTGGGACAGATCTGGTTGGCAGGCCGCAGGCTGATGAAGTCCTCTGGATGGAAGATAAAACATTTCTCCCTTAAAGAAACTGGTCCAGATGACATGATTTAACCATTTTTTGTTATCTACCTGGATGATTGAGCCTACAAATGTTTTTTAATGTGAACAACTAGTTACGGCTGTTATTAGCAAACTGGTTGATCCATTATGAGAAGGTGCTATTTATAAGACTGAGTTTGTTGCAGCTCCTCAGACTGAAGAAGTCTTTTGGATTAAAGACAAAACGTTTCAACAAGTTTTTTATTTTATTTTGAAGCCGTCCAGAGGACCTGACTTAACTTTGTTGGATTTTTCTACCTGGATTATTGAGCATGCATCAGAATACAGTTTAATACAGTTCAGAATAATCATTTTGATGTTTTGGTTCATACTTTGCTGAAGTAACTTTAAGAAAGCCAAAACTCTGATCCGATCCCATTTTCTTCTGATGGCGCGTGACGATTATCCAGGGGTGAACGTGCCTCATCCTTCACCGGGCAGCCGTGCTAATTGTAGGACGTAGAGGCAGGAAAAAAGCTGCTAAGTGGAAAGAGATAAAAATGAATGTGATGGTCTAGTTACCCTCTTGGCAACGCCCAGCCCTTTAGGGCCCATGTTCACTCCTCCTCTGAAGCACCCTGCAGAGCCCACAGGAAAAGTGTTTTTGTTTAGCTGCGATCGTGTGGAACTCGCGCAGACCGTGGCTCAGATGTGTCGCCAAGGAATGGCGTTTGCTTTGTGCGTCTATCGGGAAATGACTGAACGGCACTTTTCATCTGGTTGCCAGGCCCTCCGTACTGGACGTTGCCAGCTAAGATGGAGAAGAGGCTGCATGCGGTGCCAGCGGCCAACACGGTGAAGTTCCGCTGCGCTGCAGGATGCAACCCCAGGCCCACGCTGCGCTGGCTCAAAAACGGCAGGCCTTTCCGCCAGGAGGACCGCATGGGAGGATACAAGGTACAAGAAACAGTAATACATCAAACCTCAAACACCAACTCTCTGCTTTCTGTTCAGCAGCACTTTTAGCTGTTTTGTATCTTTGGAAGGTGAAGGGGGGTACCCCCCTCCTCCTTCCACCTCGTCCTTTCACCTCTTTTCCACCCTTCGCTGGAGAGACGGGAGGAGACAGAGGAAACGAAGGCAGGGCTTCTGGTGTGAAATTGGAATTGCTCATCCGTGCTCCTCCTCTCATCAAGATACTTTGCAGAACCCCCCCACTGTAACTTGAAAGGGTTCTTTACCCCCATCAATTAGAAACACAAGACTGGGACTTGAGGGTTAAATGCTCTCAGACAGTCGTGTATAGAGAAAACAGGTTGAAATGAGTTCAGACCGTTGGCGTAACTCTATCAGGGAGAACGGGCCTTTTTGGCTTTGGTCAGAACTTAATACGTTATTTCTATATGTATGGGGGCGGGGTAGCTTAGTGGCATAACCCTGAGGCTGCAGGTTCGAGCCCAGATTGTGTCAGGAAAGGCATCTGGTGTAAAACAGTTGTGTTTTCTACACCTATGTTTAAAGAACAGAATGTGATTTCCTGTCATGACAGTCATCTTTGGAATACCTTCCATTTGGCTGTTATGTTACTTTTTCAGCATGTGTTTTGTTTTTTTAAATCAGGCAATACCAGTTTAAGCTGAAAGTTCTGAAATGACTTGACAAAAAAAAGCTCCAGTAGTGCAGAACGGGCCAAAGGGACCTGGTTAATAACTGACGGGGAACGCTCAGGAGCACAACTATGGGCAGAAACTTGTGCCATCAGAAACTGAATTTGAGTTGTTCAGACTGAATCTGTTTTGGCGTAATTTGAAACTAAATCCACTGGTTTGAAAATGAATTTCACTAAATTGAAACTGGATTTATTTGCTTTGAAAATGTATTTCGTTGGATTGAAAATTCGGTTTGACTACTTTCATTTTCATTTCTATAATTCAATTTCAATTCCAAAATTCAGTTGTTTGTGTCACACGTCCGGGTCGTTGAGAAAGCCACGGAGTAATCGAACACGGAACGACAGATTTATGTTTCACGCCAGAGAAACTTCCTTTACGGAACTATAGGCATGGGGTTCAGTCTCAAGGAGACGGTGATGCAACCACCCGCTTCGAATGTTATCAGCCATTAAATGGCCGTTATTAGTTGTTATCATCCCCATATGTAGCGGTCAGACTGCCCCTCCTGTACCTCCTAGTGGGTTTAAGGGTACGTTGTTAGCGATGATAATAGGCTTTATTTTTAGCTTTGTTAACGCTCGTAACAGCTTCACGTGGTTAGGTTTAGAGTAAAGGGTCTTGGTTAGGTTTAGGGTCTTGGTTAGGTTTAGGCACAAGGGTAAGGGGGTTAAGTTTAGGGTTAGTCCTCTGGGTCACGTGTAAGCTTACGTTTAGGAAAAAGGGTTACACAAGCTGAAAAAAAAAGAGACACTTCTTGGTTTACCCCCGTGCGACGCTGCCTATTATCAGCGATAATAACGTACCTTTAAACCTACTAGGAGGTAGGTGGGACAGTCTCACCGCTACATATGGGGATGATAACAACTAATAACGGCCATTTAATGGGCTGATAACATCCGAAGCCGCTCATGCAACAGAGTGGATGCAGTCTGCATCTGTGGTTTATACAGGTTGTGGTTCGGCTCTCTTGACTCTTTACAGCTTAGATTTTTTTTTTAAACTGCCGCTGGAGTGATGCCACCATCCTGTCAGCTACATTGTGGCAACAACTTGTGCACAAATGCATACCTGAGCCCAGCCCTCTGGCTGGACCTTTTGTGTGAAACGTAGGCCCGTGCAAGCAGTGGTTACCGTCGCTTCAGTCTGCAGGTGGAGGCCTCATTGTTGGCTCACACCTGTGAATTCCACACACGGGTGAAACTCCTGCGAGTTATGAAGAACTGCTTAGGTGCAAGGGTGGGGCTTTCTAAAGACAATGGCTGTGAGTGACAGAAGAATCAGGCAATATGTCAGATCTTTCTTTACTTTAAAACTCCTGACACAAGTGAGAATCAGTAACGTACCCATGCTTTGGGATCAAAAAGAAAAGTTTTAAACTTTGCGCAGTCATGCCAGTGGATTCAGCCGGTCTTTATCGCTCATCTTTCACACCTTCCACCAAACCCACTCTGTCATGTTCTTCTTTTAAATTACATTACGGCCGCTTATGTCAACACGATGTTTTGAAACCAGGTGCGGCCCCAGCACTGGACCTTGATCATGGAGAGCGCGGTGCCGTCAGACAAGGGGAACTACACCTGCATCGTGGAGAACAAGTTCGGATCCATCAACCACACCTACACGCTGGATGTAGTGGGTCAGTACTTTTCACACAGTGCACTCTCAGACTCACGGCGCACGTAGAGTTTGTTAATCTATGAGGGGAAAAAGAGCTGGAGGAATGAGGGGCAGCGTCGAGGAGGAAGAGTTCCCACAGTGAGGATGGTGTTTGATTGCCCAGGTGTTCTCTGGATGCAGGTGGACGGCAAGGACCGCTGCCAAGTTCACAAAGGCTAAAGATGAACATGTCAACAGTTTCAGTGCCACTTTCATTGTTTTATGTTTTAATATTTCACTCAGTTTGAAAGTACTTGGGAGTTGCACCTGGACGGAGGCGTGCTACCACGTTAGCTTGGGATTTTTCTTAGCCAGAGTCGTGGTTTGATCCTTCCTTGTAGTTTATTGTTGTCTACTTCCAACAGGCTAAAAAAACAACAACAAAAATTAAGTTTCTATACACTTACAAATCTTATCAAAGACGCCAAAACCTGCAGATAGATTAGGACTAGTGTGCTTTGACATTTGGTAGTGGTACATCCATCCGTCCATCCATCCATCCATCCATCCATCCATCCATCCTCCGCTTGTTCTCAAGTTGAGTCTCGGGGGCAGCAGCTTGAGCAGGGAGGTCCACACATCTCTTTCCACAGCCACCTCTTCCAACTCTTCTGGGAGGACTCCAAAGCGTTCCCAGATACGTAGTCTCTCCAGGGTCTCCTCCGGCATGCCCGAAGCACCTCCTTAGGGAGGCGCCCATGGAGCATCCTTACCAGATGCCCGAACCACCTCATACTGGCTCCTCTCGATGTGGAGGAGCAGCGGTTCTACTCCGAGTCTCTCCTGATAACTGATCACTGAGATAGGGTGAGAAGTTGTTTTCCGGTACATTGCATGTCACGATGTAGAGAAAAATTTAAAAATAGCCAAAAAACTGAGGGAAAAACATTTCGGAGATCAAAGGGATTTGGGCGAAACGCATAAAAAGACCCAGCTTTCTTAGGAGCTCTACAGCGCCACCATTTAAAGGTTAAACAGGTCACAGGAAGCTTGACATGTCAAACCTCGAAAACAAAACTCATGTAGAAACACAAAATGGCACAATCAGAGCAGCCTGCCGCTCAGAGTTCAGGAATTTTCAAGAGTCGATGAATACCGTAGTTTGAACACAGCTCCAGTTTGTTTGAGGCTTACATTTTAGTCTACGTTTTTGTCTGCCTCTCATTAACGAGTGACGGACACGCCTGTGCCGTTGCCATGGTGACCATGCCGTGACAGTAGCTCAAACATTCGTTCTGATCTCGGTTCCGTTTGCACCACTTATACAGTTTGTACATTACAAAAGTTATTTTGCAATTCTAAGTTTCGTCATAAATTCTCTTGTCAAATTTTACGATACCAAAAAAAGTTGCGCAGAAATGCTTATTTTTAGTCTGTCGTGTTCGGCCTTCAGTTGGCTCAGGATGATCATTTGGCACCGGTGGCTTCAGCAAACAAAACGCTGTCCTCAGCAGTATCACGTCGAGTTCAGGCCCGTCTCGGTCAACCTCTCTTTGTGACCTTTGGAGCGCAGAAAGAAACAAGTGTTTTTCTGCTCAATTTGCAGAATCGATGGCCGGGGGTGAGGGGTGGGGCACAACATGGGGGCTGGTGGATAAAGATAGTAGATCAATGTGTGTTTGCCTGAGCGTACGCTAACTTTGCTCTTTAGATGATTTGGACCTGCTCTCCCTTTGGACTCGCTGACCCACTTTACAGACTATCAGCACACATCAAAGTTTATCTGATGCAGCCATTCTTTTAAATGCTGGTCAGTGAACCTCGAATAACCGGAACAGACACGAAGCTGCTGCGGTCCGAGTCATCACATCAGTGTTTTCAGCCCGTGTCCAGTGTTTTTAACCAGTTTTTTAACGACCGTCACCACCGTCTTGATGGAATGATCGCCTGCCTCCACAGTGCAGTTGACGTTTCTGCCCGTCTCTCTGTTCAGTTGTCTGTCTTTTAACAAAAATACCTTGAACCACTCGATGGATTTTAATGAAACTTAGACAGTAAGCATTGGGTGTTCATCTACAACTCGTTAGCTTTGGAAGTCAAACTGATTCAAGATGGCTGCCAGAGTTAAATTTAGCCAACGCAAAAATACCTATAACTCAGTCAACCCGACAGATTATGAGCTAAAATTTGGTCTGTTGGTAGCTGAAATGCTCCACTCAAAAAGACAAAAATACTTTGACTCCCACGTATCCCCCCAACACATAAACCCCTCCACCAGCCGAAGCCTACCTACTCAGCTAAAGTTCTTCTTAAGCTGCGTTTTTTTCCTCCTTCAGTTTTTGTTGGATTTTATTGCTGAGCAATAAACCCATTTCAGGTCCCCCAGAGTCGACGGGGGAGGGGGGGGGACAGACAGAAAGGGCTCCTCTTGTGATTTTTCACCAATGACCAGACATTTCTGGCATGCTGCTCAGAGAACGGGCCTCAGTGGGACACTTACAAGCTGAAGCTCAGACAAAGGAGGAGCCAGAACTGGTCCGTGTTGTGTGGGAAGCCTCGTGGTTCCGGCGCCACGCTGAGTTTTTTTCCTGGGACTTTATTCGTCCTTGATCTTTGGGTCCAAACTGCGTCTGGCTTCAGACGTCATGAGATGCTTCTCTTAATGCCCACCATCCTGAAACCGCTGCCGTCCAATCACTGCTTCCCCGACTTTATCCACGCCGAAAGGCAAAGGTGAACAATACTGTTAGCTGTGGTAGTCGCTGAGAGTCCTCCGCAGAACACACTCTGAGGGCGACATCGCGCCTGTTAGTTTCAAAGCTCGACCAAAACGCCTACAACTCCGAGGCTACGATTATGACACAGATTCAGTTTCAAACTGTTTTTGCTGCCGTAAGACGCAAAATGGACGAATCGATTTCTTTATCGTTCTGAACGCCTTTTCTTCCTAAAGTTCTCGTTTGGTGGCCAAAGACAACCGACAACAAACTGCTAAAGCAATCATACGTTTAGTCTTAGCTGTGTTTGTAGGCACTTTTGATTGACGATATGTCGTTTAGACCCTAACTAAGTATTAGTCGTAACCCTAAAACAAAACGTTTTCCCCTTTTTGTCCGGTTGTAGAAACAAGCGTTGGTACAAAGAGAATGAGGACAACGAGAGGACGTCCTCGCCCTCTCAAACTGGGGAATGTTCGAGAGGGTGGCTTGTGAATTAAAAGGGTAGAGGGGCGAATAACGGCCAACAGTAAACAAGGAGAACCCTGGGAAAGTGCAGGAAGGAGAATGGGAGGGAGGGTGGTGCACTTCTGATGTTTTGGTAGACGTCGGAAAAGTTGAAAGAGAAAAACAGCGAGGCTGAAGGATGTGGAACACGTCTTCTCGTCTTTATCTTGAGGGTTTTGCTTTATTACATTTTGTAGTTAAAGTTTTTAAACCTTTAATCCAACAACCCAACCCACTGATTATCACTTCCAACTAACCCTTAATCCAGAATGCACATGCACATAAAGTGACTGTGCACATCTTAAGGCTTTGTTTTGGGGAGGCACTGAATGATGTCAGAGTGGTTTGTTGTGCTGTGGGGCCTGCCCCTGTGTATTAGTGAATGCTGGTTAGTGTTTGAAAGAAGGCATTGTTCCGCATGTCTCGCTCTGTTTGGATAAATATTTATTTATAAAAAATATTTTAAAAATAAAACGCAGATAACTGGAGATGTGAGGGCGCTACAAAGGTGCTTTCATTCTTTTCTTTAGAAAAAATAATATATACGAACTCCTCGTTTTACCTAAGTGTTGCTTCACCAGAGTTGGTACCCTTAGGCCAGAAGTGTCAAACTCACTTACAAACGGGGCCAAAATTAAAACCCTTTTCAAACTAAGGGCCAATTTCAGAAACTACATGAACTCAAATCAGATACGCAGCATCTTTTCTTGGTCACAGGTTCCTCAACAAGAGTTTGATTGGTCTCATTTGATGTTCTCTGTTGTGCTTTCAACATCATAATCAAAGATTACTGAAAACAATTCAAGAGATAACGTATTTTACGTTTCACATATCATCTTGAGGGCCAGATAAGATGTCAACGGGGGCCACTTTTGACCCCCTGGGCCTTCAGTTTGACGCATATGCCTTAGGCAGTAACCAAGAAAAACACAACTGGTGTGAAGGAGCCAGAACGTTCCAGTTTGGTCTCATGTCAAAACCTTTGGATCATGTCAGTAAGGATTTTGGTGAATTCTTCTCAGGCTTTTTTGTGTTTTTCTTACAGTGGTGGAGCTCTCCTTGGTCTTCTTCCATGGAGCCCATTACGATTCAGATGTGATTAGTTGTCTTTTGTCTACTACTTGCACAATCCAGTTTGTGAACCTGGGGTTGCATTTCTTTTTGTGTCCACGTCCTGGAAGTTTGGCTGCAATTCTATGACCCTTCCACTTAGGGGCTGCTACTTCTACTTACTACTTTTAAGTAATTTTACTTTGGCTTAGGGGCCGAGATGGTGTAGAGGTAGGGCAGCCGACTTGGGACCAGAAAATCGTGGTTCGACTTCCCGCCATGCCCACATGCCGTGGTGTCCCTGAGCATGACACCCAATCCCTAACATCTCCCCGGGCGCTTACATAGCTGCCCACTGCTCCACCTGGTTGTATCTCAGGTGTGGTGGGTTAAATGCAGAGAACTAATTTTGTCATCGTATGGAAACATATGTAGACAACATACTTGTACTTTTTAACAGTATTGTCAACTGAGGTCAGAGGGCCTTGAAGCTGCTTGAAGATGAGCTTGTGGTGTATATTTGTCTTCCTGAGCTACTCAGACAGCCCTTACCTTGGCTTTCTCTGCTTCATGTTCAGTGGGTGAACACAACCAAACCCCAAGTGGATATTTGTTCCCTTTACTTTGACTGAATAGATGATGGAAGGCTCGAAGACACCTGGGATACTAATTAAGGTCACTTGGTTTGGAACATGACTATGATGCAAAGAATAGTTCTCTCTGTAATGGTCTGTCTGGACTATTTTGGCATATCTCTGTATTAGACAGTTGTTTTTAACCAAACCACTTTTGACAAGAAATGAAAGGTATGAGCTGTGAGGGTACCAGCTAGTTTATCTGAATTTGTATTTATCTATCTTGAACCAATCTGATAAACGTGCATTTTTGTCCCTTTTGGACAGAACGGTCTCCGCACCGGCCCATTCTCCAGGCTGGTCTCCCTGCCAACACCACCGTACGCGTTGGAGAGGACGCTCGCTTCGACTGTAAGGTCTACAGCGACGCGCAGCCTCACATCCAGTGGCTGAAACACATCACTCGGAACGGCAGCCGGTTAGGCCCCGACGGACACCCTTACGTCAGAGTGCTGAAGGTAAATGACTTTCCTTTTGCTTTTCTTAATTAAGGACGCTCCATTCCCATTTTTGTCCTTGGTTCTTGTGCGTGTAGTCCCCTTGTTTTCCAAAAGCTCCAAACCAAATGTCTTCCCTCTTTTTTTGAGTAGACAGGTCTTTTCCCTTCTGGCTCTTGGCTGTGATCGTGATGTCCCGAAGCATCTAAGCCTCGATTGTTTCTGCTCATTTGTCTGATCTTTGTGTGTGTGTGTGTGGATTGCAGCGTTCAGGCATTAACAGCTCAGATGTGGAGATCCTCACCCTCACCAATGTGACTGAGGAAGATGCTGGGGAGTATATCTGTCAAGTCTCCAATTATTTAGGCAATGTCAACCAGTCGGGCTGGCTCACGGTCATCCCAGGTAAACCCTGAGACCCGACCCACCTCCATCCCTTGTTTCCAGTGTGATTTCCCTGCTGCTCTCTGGTGGTCTCTTGGTGGTCCTTGGGCTCGTGGACGTTCTCTCTCTCTCCCCTTGTTCTTCAGCTGCCCCACCCCCACCACTTTGGGATTGGTGCCGCCATGGAAGCACTGTTTGGACCTACAGAACTAGATGAGATTTAGTCGCAGCTAGAAGGTTTTGTTGCAGAGAAGGTGTTGCAGTGCTCTCCATGCCTCCTGTTGTTGTTTTTTTATTGTGTGTGTTTTCAGTTCAGTGTTTTAGATTGGACTGATTTCTATAAGCTGGTTCTGTGGGTGATGGGTACATTCTGGGTTGTTGTTTGGTGTTTTATTTTCTCGTGTTTACATGGTACACCGGGTTCTGTCTTCTTCCCTTCCTCACTTCTCGTGTTGTTTTCTCTAGATGGGACCTCAACGATGGACACTATCCAGCTTCTATAATTTCCTTCTGGTGCTGTGGGTCTCATTTTTTTCTGTTTTTCTCTCCATCTGTTTCAAACTTCACTTTCTTCCTTTTTCACTCTCCCTTTCTTTCCTCCTCCTTCTTTTCTCCTCCCCTTCCAGACTGCAGGTGTTAACACCACAGATAAGGAGATAGAAGTTCTCTACTTGCCCAATGTAACATTTGAGGATGCTGGGGAGTATACATGCTTGGCGGGTAATTCTATTGGGATCTCCTATCACACTGCTACTTTGACGGTGCTTCCAGGTATATGAACTTGTATGGTGTCTTTTTTTATTCTTTCTTTTTTAAATAGGTTTTGGTTACCTTTATGCAAGGCAAGTCCTCAACTTGGAATCCTATTTATACAACTCAAATATTAGAGCACACTCAACGTCCACTACACTTTAACTCGAGACCAGAGATCATATATTCTATGACGGCGTGCCCATACGTCGATCTCAATCTACTGGTTGATCGCAAATATGGGTAGATCGCATGGCAAAAAAAAAAGAGTCAGTCTATAATCCATCTATGAAATTTGTCACTTGAATGACATCCAGGGCAGCCAGTCTGAGGCTCCATTTAATCAACGTGAACTGTTTGGACGTGCATTTACAGACAACATCCTCGTCCTCTCTGAAACTGAAGGTTTCTGAATCCAGGTCTCAGAGTGGAGGTTTTCAGGGGAACCCCCCACGAAGGTGTAAAATGCTCCAAGTGTGAAGCTGCACATGTGCACTATAGGCGACTGCAGTCCAAAGTTTTTCTGCTCTAACAACAGTTATAATAAATATAACAGTTATAATAAATATAACAACAGTTATAATAAATATAACAGTTATAATAAATATAACAACAGTTATAATAAATATAACAACAGTTATAACTATAACAACAGTTATAATAAATGTAACAACAGTTGTAATAAATATAACAACAGTAATAATAAATGTAACAACAGTTGTAATAAATATAACAACAGTAATAATAAATGTAACAACAGTTGTAATAAACATAACAACAGTTATAATAAATATAACAACAGTTATAAATATAACAACAGTAATAATAAATATAACAACAGTTATAATAAATACAACAGTTATAATAAACATAACAACAGTTGTAATAAACGTAACAACAGTTATAATAAACATAACAACAGTTATAATAAATATAACAACTGTTGTAATAAACATAACAACAGTTATAACAAACAAAAACAGTTATAATAAATATAACAGTTATAATAAATATAACCAGTTATAATAAATATAACAACAGTTATAATAAATATAACAACAGTTATAAATATAACAACAGTTATAATAAATATAACAACAGTTATAACTATAACAACAGTTATAATAAATATAACAACAGTTATAATAAATATAACAACAGTTATAAATATAACAACAGTTATAACTATAACAACAGTTATAATAAATAT